CAAAAACATTAATTTGATATGTTATTCAGTTGACATCAGATGAAGTGAATTAAGTCACATATGCCTCTTAATACCTAAATACTTCTTAAAACGGAGGCATTTTGCGCGGGGTCGACAAACGCGCCGGCGTTGCATACAGACTTAGCTAAGAATTTAAGAAAATTACAAATTTATCGAAACAAAACTTTGTGCTTAAACAACGTTAATTCTGACCCTCCGTTAACTTTTTTTCTGGAGCACGTGTCTAATAACAAAACTCAGCAAACAGAGGCATAGGCTAAGGCTAAGCAATATATCTTTATAATATAAGTGGCTACTTTTAAATGATCGAATTCAAAACTAATATAAATATTTTCTGTTTATGTAATCTGTATAAAAAGAGAGAGATGCATGTCTGTCGTTCTCTCATCTGCTAACTGTTGCTAATTGTAGGCCTAATATGTGAACACGTGAAGAGCGCGTGCTTTTCAAAATGTTCTGAGGCAATCCATGAAAACCTGTCAATGTCCACATCAGCTCGATAAAACATATCAAATTTAATCAGATTCATGTAATTTATGTCGTCTTGTGACGATATAAGGAATACTCATTGCGTAATAGTAAGTTAATATAATGTTAATCTTGGAAAAATCGACATCAGAAGTGGTTTATTTTCACTTCGAGGAGAATTGGATCCAGCTGTGAATAGTAAGTTATTCTTATGTGCTAAATTGTTCTAATCGCTATATGAAATAATGTCTGAAAAACCGCAAAATGAGTGTTTAAATATTTAAATGTCGTGATATGTATTTGTAAGCAACGTATAACTGCAAATTAAAATGTATATGCTCTATATTAATGTACAGACGAAATATGTTTAGACAATTTTCGTATACTAGTTTTGGGTAGATTATAAATAAAATATACTTATAAATATGCTATACATTTAATCTAGTTTAAGGTAAAAATTGTATAATCTATCCAAACCTAGTGAACGAAAATTGTCAAAAATAGACAAATAGTTTTGGATAGATTTATGCATTTTTTACTGTAAACTAGACTAAATATATAGTCTTTTGTCAAAAATAAAGTAGGTAACGTTATGTTGAATTATCAACTGATGTTATAGTGTTTGTTCCAATTCAAATACTTTGAAATATGTATGATAAAACGTATACTTTTACAAAGACAGATTACGCTTGAACTACTGTTAAAATTGTAATTCTGTTTGACTTGTATGTGAAAACTTTAATAAAATGGCAAAACATTTATATTATAAACAAAATCTTACCCATTAAATATTTTTTTATTGTGTTTTATTAGTGACGAATTTGGGGAGAGAATAAATATTCCAAAACTTTGTGAAAATACAGTATGAGAATTAACTGTGTCCTCTAAGATGTTTTCTGAAATACTCTTAGAAAAAGTCTTAAATGTTGGACTGATATGCCCATTAATTTTAAGAGTTTATCCTAAATTGGCACATTTTTAGTCATAAATTTTTTTTTTTATACGGCCCCTGATCTGTATATTTCTGTCTATAAAATAGTTGTAGAATTTGAAATATTCTTCTTTATCTCTTTTTTTAGGTTGAAGCAATAAAGACAGAAAAAGAGGTAAGTTTATGTTGAAGCAGAAAACCTTTATCGTACGTTGTTTCTCAAACGAAATCAATTGTACTAGGAACTAGTTTGAGCACAAACTAGGGCTGCTCGATTATGTAAAAAATCATAATCACAATATTTTTGGTCAGTATTGAAACCATTATTATGAATCTCAAATACATTAAAGGGATAGTTCACTTTGAAATTATTTTTTGGTATGTTTTAGCTTACCTCAAGGGCATCCAAGATGTAGGTGTCTTTGTGTCCACAGTATTTTCAATTTTGATATTTTTAGGTCAAACCGTTCTTGTCTGTCAGTCATATAATGCAGGTCTATGGTCAACCACCTCAAGAGCATGCACAGAGAAGTCCAAATTAAACATGATTTAATGACTCGTAAATGTAAGTACACATTGATGGCCTAAGAGACGAAACGAGCGGTTTGTGTGAGAAAACGAACAGTATTTATATCGTTTTTACCTCTTGTAAACACAGCCACGTCCAAGTGATCTGAGGGAGCGGGCGCTTCGGTCTTTTCCGGAAAGTGCCGTAAGTGATCTCTCGCGCGTGTACGTCACTCATACAATTGTTTTTTTTTTGTTTTTTTTTTGTAATTGTTTTCTTTTACGACGGTTTAAACATCCCGGATAAGCGCAAATTAGTACCCTTTTAATTAGCCGTCTTACCTACAATCTCTGTTCTGTGTAAACAATGAGTGACGTACACGCGCGAGAGATCACTTCCGGTGCTTTCCGGAAAAGACCGAAGCGCCCGCTCCCTCAGATCACTTGGACGTGGCTGTGTTTACAAGAGGTAAAAACTATATAAATACTGTTCGTTTTCTCACACAAACCGCTCGTTTCGTGTCTTAGGCCATCAATGTGTACTTACATTTACGAGTCATTAAATCATGTTTAATTTGGACTTCTCTGTGCATGCTCTTTGAGGTGGACCCCATAGGCCTGCATTATATGACTGACAGACAAGAACGGTTTGACCTAAAAATATCAAAATTGAAAATACTGTGGACACAAAGACACCTACATCTTGGATGCCCTTGGGGTAAGCTAAAACATATCAAAAATTAATTTCAAAGTGAACTATCCCTTTAAGGCCCAGTTCCAGGAATGCACTAATGTTGTTGGTAGTACCAGTTTGCAACAATTATTAGTTAACCCTAAGTTGTTACACTCCGGAATAGGGATGGGACAATTACCGTTTTCACTATAAACCACGATAAAATGTATTGACTGTTAGTAATATTGTTTAAAATTGAATTATCATTAAAGTGATACTCCACTTTTTTTTTGGAAATAGGCTCATTTTACAACTCCCCCAGAGTTAAACAGTGGACTCTAACCGTTTTTGAATCCATTCAGCCGATCTCCAGGTCTTTAGAAGAATGTTACATTGACTGGTCCCATTGACTTTCATAGTATATCTTTTTTCCTACTATGGAAGTCAATGGGACCAAAAACTGTCTGGTTACTGACATTCTTCTAAAGACCCAGAGATTGGCTGAATGGATTCGAAAGCGGTAAAAATCAACTGTTTAACTCTGGTGGAGTTGTAAAATTAGCCTATTCCCAAAAAAAGGGGAGTATCCCTTTAAAACAGTGTTTGATTATTGCAATTTTAATAACTCACTGTAAATCCTGTCCAGCCAGCAACAGTGTGACACATGCGTGCAGCGCGCAATATTTTATTTATTTATTTATTCGAGAAGGAATGGCGGAAGGCATTGGCTTTTTGCTTTTAAAGGTATAGTTCAATTTAAAATGAAAATTCTGTCATCATATACTCACCCTCAAGTTGTTTTAAACCTGTATGAATTTCTTTCTTCTGCTTAACACAACATATTTTTTGAAGAATGTCAGTACCCAAACAGTTAACTGGAGCTGTTTGGTTACTGACATTCTTCAAAATATCTTGTTTTGTTTTTAGCAGAAGAAAGAACCATCAACTTGAGGGTGAGGGTCAACTTGAGAATTTTCATTTTGACTATCCCTTTAAAAGACAAACAAATTCTACATGCTTTTAAAGTGATTTTAACATGCTTTTTACGTGCTTTTAAAGTCCTTTTAAATTTTTTAAAAAAGTTAAAAGGACTTTTACGTGCTTTTCCCAAATCACTGAAGTGACCTCGACGTCCACGTTAGCAATAGACATTCCCCAAAATTCTTCTCCTGATTCACAAATACTTCGTAAACGTCAGATTTGATAGTGAAATGTGTGTGTTAATGAATTCCAACCAGTCGTAAATGGGACGCACGTGGACGCTCATAAATACTGCCCATTGACGACTATATGGGCATCATATTATTATGACACCAAGCGAAGGATTTCAACATGTCTTGTCAAAAGTGAATGAAAAAGAAAAAAAATCAGATGCAGAAATTGAGGTTGTACATCTAAAGTATATTCACATAGCCTAGCCTATTCTCCATGGTTCGCTTCATAATAATTCGATGGCGTTTCTCTTCCAGCTGAGTCAGCGTCACCTTTTTTGCACGTTCGTTCTCCCGCCCTTCAATCAATGTAGCAGTTTCCGGAGAGCGTTTTTTTTTTTTTTTTTTTTTTTTTTTACTTTGTAAATTATAATATTTTTATTGTTTTTTACTCAGTAACGGATGTGATTTAAAATGTAGCGAAGTACAATACTTCAAACAAAACGTACTTAAGTAAAATTACAGATTTTAAAAAAATACTTGAAAAAGTAGAATTACACAAAAAAACTACTCAACTACGTAACGCGAGTAAATGTAATTCGTTACTTTCCACCTCTGCCAAGAAGGCAGCACATAGATACACATTAACAGACAACAAGCAGACAGGGATGCATAGAAATATAAAAAATACAGAAAAAACTGTTTTAACATTCAATCTGAGAGAGTTATGGCTTCGGAAGGGGCGGATGTGCGCGTGTCATCCAGAACACAAGCCAAAATAAGAGTGTTCTTGCAAAAAAAGAACATATACTAGAACATACTATTTTGGTGATTGTTGGGAGCCAATATTGAAATTCAATTAATTGCACAGCCCTAGCTGAAACCCCTCTTCATCATTACACCAACAAGTACTGATGACTGATTTTTGTTTTAATTTTAAAATAAAGTATAATCAATCAAATTTATGCTATAGTCCAACTACGTCACGTAAACCTTGACTAATGCATGACTCTTTCAGTGACATTCTATTCATACATAGATTTAGAGCTTTGAGAACTGTTGGCATAGCAAAACATTTTATTGTGAGGAAGGACATTTCAGAATCGAATTCAGGATCAAACTATGTATTACAGATGGCTTATTTAAAAGCATGGCGCAAAAGGAAGGCAGAGATGGATCAGTTCCTGCATTCTGACAGTGATGATGACCATGAAAGTCAGAGATCAGTTCACGATAGATCAACCTGTGGCTTCAACCCGGTATCACGACAAGACGTGAAATAATCACGTTGGTCCATTTTGGAAAACGTGTAGATGTCACGGTTTAACCCCCTCAAACGTGAAACTTACACGTTTGCGTTAACACGTTCCAGTGGAGAGATACCCGGATGTTGACCTATTCTACACGCTATCGCCTCTGCCATAACGACCTATTGGTTTTCATTAAACCGAGAAAAATGGAATTTTGTTTTATTGTCGATCACTGAGAAATGTTCTATTATTTAATTATTTAAAATGTAAAAAAAACATTTATTATTTTCAAGGTGAAAAGGATTCATTTGCCTTGATCCACGCCGAAAAAAATGTCTAAATGTCACGTTTTTAATGAAGTAATGAGTAAAACGTCTATTTTTCTAGCGTCCCCCAGCTCCTCGTTTAAGCAAAAGGTACGCTAAAACAATGTATTACATCGACGTTAAACCATGTTAAACCATAACCTTTTAAATACTCGACCTAGTTCCGTTGCTTAGCAACTACGGGAAGCAACAGTAACTTCAGTGCCATAGGTTAGCACATAACGTTAGTGCTTACAGATTAGGAGACATTAGTATGTGTTTTGTAATGTTATACTTTTAATTCCGAGAAGAAATTTTTTTGCTGTGTTGGGTAGAATACATTAATAGTGCATACCCTCTCCAAACGTGAGAACTACACGACAGAAATAAAAAAATACCCGAATGGAAGACGTCACGTGACGTCACCGTAATTTGCTAAAGTTTAATTTAAAGAAGAAAAAAAAAACTCTGAATAACTACTTTACAGGATTAATACCCTCAAATGTGAAACTCGCATGTTTTTCCAGCTTTGGACATTCTGGGAAAAATACTCGTTAATGGCCGTTAATGACGACGTTAAAAACTCCCGCTTGCAAGTTGCAACCAGAACCACGACTTCCTCCTCTTCAGACTTCATCAAGCAGGTAAGACACGTTGACAACAATATGTACGTTACAACAATGTAATTGTATAAGAGCTATTGCCATTTGCCTTATTTAATATTTTTATAGTGTTCTTTGGTCACTCAATGTATTATTTTTCCAATAAGAAGCCGGTAAGACACGTTGAGTCATCAGTAACGTTATATTGGAAAGCTATAACAGTTAAACTTTCTGTTGACCTTACTGTAACGTTACGTTATATCAGTAACGTTAACCTTAGGTATTTAGGTTATTAAGGATTTACCAAGAATAAATATTCAATAAGAATATGGAAATTGAAATTGGTGAATAGGCTAATGATGATGCTTAATGCAGGCCTTATTAGGCAGTAATACAGACACATTAGTTATTTTGTTAGCAATTGATAACATTTATTCCCTAAACTAAAGTGTTAACGTTACCTTCATTTCATCAATCAGTTCAACTTAAATATTTTTTCAGTTAACCATTTTAAACATTTCAATTTATTTGATCAGAGCTCTTGTTTAAAACGGATCAATTGGGCGTATCAAATACGGTTTTATTATTGGCTATATTTTCATTCTTTGGCGCATGTCTGTAGTATTGCTAATTAGGCTAACTTTAACTGTCCCTTCTAACCAGCTGAATGGTAGGCCCTTGACCATATTATTTAAGTATAAAGTAGGCTATATAAATAAACTCATCATCAAATAGGATAGTTATAGGCTATAGCCCCCGCCCACCCGTCCCTATTTGTTAAGCGACCTTAGGTATGAGTATGAAAGGCCCTATATAAGTTCAAGTTATTATTAACTATGCTGTAAGGGCAGTGCCATACTTATTTTGACCAGTAGTTGATTGTCTAGTGTTCTCATTCCGTATTTTCACCCTCAACCACCCCACACTTTAGGAACCAATGTCGTATAGAAAGGAATGTGCAGGTGTACAGGTAATTGCATTTGTTAGAAAATGTCAATGTATGGGACATCGCTACCAGAACGGTGAGCTGTATAGCAAGGCAACCCAAAGAAATCGTCATTCTTATTAAGTTGTATTGGTGTTAATTTTTGTGGCTAAGAAGACCCTACCCAGCAAATGTGACCATTGTTTAAAGTACGGAGAACAGAGTAATCATTCTATTGTGTAGGCTAACCCCTCCCCCCAAAAAAAGCCTGAGACACCGTGCCCTGATGTTAGTGACTAACCAGCCAAAGAACAGAAAAATTAGGCAACTTTTATATCATTTCATTGTATTATTATTGTGAAACCCATTTTTTTTATGTCTCTTTCCAAACAGATATGCCAGGACCTGGTTCAACCACAAAAAAATGTACGTCTTGTTCTATGCCACTCAATGTGGCTTGCAAGACATGCAAGTACTGCAAAGCAGCGCAGCCCCACAAGCTTCGTTTGAAAAAAAAATTCGAAAGATTTGATTTGAAATCAGAGACATGGTCCCAGGCCCAGAAAAGGAATAACACTTCATCCCACCTGAGGGATGACGCTTCTTTGTTGGTATGTTACAGACTATTATTAAATTTTTTTTGGCTTGCATGCATAAGTAATTAAACGCCTGTATTTTTTAGTTTTAGGTTTACACTTATTGACCGTAGCTCATAATAATTAAGTAAAGATCTGAATGAAAAATCACTGTGTAAAGCTTCTACTTGCTGATCCCAAAATTCTAAAGACAGTTATTGCAGCGAAATGGTTCTTATGAGTATGCACGCAGCATATGTCATAATGTTAGTGTACAAAGAACTTGCTTTAACTGACTCTATTTCTGAGCATTTCTAAATTTCAATGTAGATTTTGCTTTACTCTTGTTGGAAGCTGGAAAGGTTTCAGGCCCTTGGCTCCAGGAGTGTGTTATTTCTATCCCGCCCCGGAACCAAATCGTGGACTAGTGAGGTGCTTCTGCCCAGATGTAAAATTACTGAGACTGCATCTGCCTGCCTAAAGAGGATGGAGGCGTTGTTTGAATTTGTTGTGCAAGGTATTGTTGTATGTTAAAGTAAAACAAGACATCATTAGATACATTGAAATAGCAATAATGCCATATTGAAATCAATTAAACCCTTTAATTATATGGTGTTATTGAATTTATTTTTTTGTTTGACTTCTGTTAATACTAGGTTGGAGTCAATCAGAGACAGTAGCAGCCTCAGCAGCAGAGATCCCACAGTCTCCTGTGGACAACTCACTGGCCACATCAAGTAAGTGTTGCATAGTTGCATAATGTACTGATATTCCACCCTAGATGCAGTTTGTTATTTCACATTTTGTATTACTGGTTGCTTTCAGGTTATTATGGAACCCCTTGTCTTGCCATTCCTACCCCTCCAGCTCCTACTCTTGCCATTTCTTCCCCTCCAGCTCCTACTCTTGCCATTTCTTCCCCTCCAGCTCCTTCTCTTGCCCTTTCTTCCCCTCCAGCTCCTACTCTTGCCCTTTCTTCCCCTCCAGCTCCTACTCTTGCCCTTTCTTCCCCTCCAGCTCCTACTCTTGCCCTTTCTTCCCCTCCAGCTCCTACTCTTGCCATTTCTTCCCCTCCAGCTCCTACTCTTGCCCTTTCTTCCCCTCCAGCTCCTACTCTTGCCCTTTCTTCCCCTCCAGCTCCTACTCTTGCCCTTTCTTCCCCTCCAGCTCCTACTCTTGCCCTTTCTTCCCCTCCAGCTCCTACTCTTGCCATTTCTTCCCCTCCAGCTCCTACTCTTGCCCTTTCTTCCCCTCCAGCTCCTACTCTTGCCCTTTCTTCCCCTCCAGCTCCTACTCTTGCCCTTTCTTCCCCTCCAGCTCCTACTCTTGCCATTTCTTCCCCTCCAGCTCCTACTCTTGCCCTTTCTTCCCCTCCAGCTCCTACTCTTGCCATTTCTTCCCCTCCAGCTCCTACTCTTGCCCTTTCTTCCCCTCCAGCTCCTACTCTTGCCCTTTCTTCCCCTCCAGCTCCTACTCTTGCCATTTCTTCCCCTCCAGCTCCTACTCTTGCCCTTTCTTCCCCTCCAGCTCCTACTCTTGCCCTTTCTTCCCCTCCAGCTCCTACTCTTGCCATTTGTTCCCCTCCAGCTCCTACTCTTGCCATTTCTTCCCCTCCAGCTCCTACTCTTGCCATTTCTTCCCCTCCAGCTCCTACTCTTGCCATTCCTACCCCTCCAGCTCCTACTCTTGCCATTCCTACCCCTCCAGCCCCTACTCTTGGCATCCCTACTCCTGGAGGAAACAAGAGGAAGAAGAAGAATGGTGTGTGTGTATATGTTTTCAAAAATATGTACCTAATTTTTTTTTGAGACCACGATTCTAGCAAGCAAGCAAGCAAATGTTATTTATATATCACTTTTCCAAACAAATCAATGCAGTTCAAATTGCTTTACAGGCACAATAAATAAAATAAAATACAAATACAGGTAAAATACAAGAATAAAAAAAATGTATGAGGATTTATTAAAATGATGAAACAACATTAAATTACAAACATTGTAAAATATTATAGGAAGGCCAGACTAAAGAGATATATTTTTAATTTAGATTTAAAACGATATATATTTTCAGCCCGTCCTACTTCTTCTGGAAGGTTATTCCAGAGATGAGGAGCGTAGTGGCTAAAAGCAGCATCACGAAATCTTTTAGTTCTACTGTGTGGTACTGTTAAAAGTAAAGAATCCGATAATCTGAGAGTCCTTACAGGTTCATATACTGTAAGCATTTTTAAAAGATAATCTGGAGCAAGTCCATACAGTGTCTAATGATCACAATCTAGTGATTGTTTTGCATTGGAAATTAATAGACATTTCACCAAAAACAAATTGTGTATTTCAGATTGCTCCCACAGCAGCCAGGAGGTATACAAGGGAGATATTTTAAGAGAACGAGTTACAGAGGTTGGTCAGGCATTGGTCAGGCTCTCTCTGAGAGAGAGACATATAAAAAATAATTGTGTACAGAAGTATTAGACTAATACATTTTAGGTTAACAGAAATGTACAGAGATATTTACAGAAATATTTAGGTGAACATACATTTACAAGACATATGTGCAAACAGGTTGTACAACAGGTTATTGTATATACTGTATGTAGACAGATATCATATACTGTATGTAGACAACTTAACCCAAAATACAGTCCAAAATATAGTCTTTTATTTATGAAAGTGTCTTGATAGTTATTGCACGTGCAAGCCTACTTAACCACTGTACTTTAAAGTGTAGACCTACAGATTATGTTACTTACAGTTATAAGTTGTTGTTTTTAAACACTTTTGCTTCATCATTAGGGGGTATTGTGTGTAGATTGAGGGGGGAAATTATTTCAAACTATTTTAACACAAGGCTGCAACAGAACAAAAATTGTGAAAATGGTGAAAGGGGTCTGAATTCCTGAATACACTGTACACTATCTCTACCTTCTTTCGGTTGTGTAGCTGGCAGTTTTGACAACAATCAAACTAACTTAATATTTTGCTTTTTCATTAGGGAAGGAAGGAATACCTTCTGAAATGGCACCCTTGCAGTTTATGGTATGTGTGGAAATCTTCTTTACTCTTTACCTCCTTTATGTTTTCACTGCTGTTTG